GGACGACATGAAATCTCGGAGGCTTTCTAAGATAACTCGGATTACTATCCCACCATAGTGGAGTTCAGCAGCCGTCTGGGATGTCCAAAGAACCCCATTTAGCTGTCGTACTGCCATGGTGGCGAGTGAGCTAGAGGTGTCCTGAACAATTGCTGGCGAATGACGCTAGTTACAAGTATACCGTGGCTAATAGATGCAAAGCACACTCCGAAAAACTACAGTGAAGAACAGACACACTCTTCCCTCTCCCCGCGGCCCCACATCACAGGTTGCTAGAGTAAGTTTGCTCAGTCTGGCAGCCTGGCATTTTCGTTCCCTTTTAGACAACCCACGGAGCAACCGACCTCAACGAAGGACGGCGTTGGTCGTTTGGGAACCGGTGCGGTACAAGTTGGATATTGCTGCAGTCAGCGAAATCAACATCTCCTAATATAAGAAGTGGAGGAGGAAGATTCCGGCTACATCGTCCTATAGAGCGACCATACCTGTAAAATGATTACTTATATAGCATGCATTTTGTTCATGGATTTTTGATGCCCTTGAAAATTCAATTATATTTCACGGAAAACATGCATAAAAAAATTCATTTTTTACTTATTCGGTAGAAAATCACGTCTTCTTCCAATTTCATACTCAAAAGAAGGGTGTTATTTGGTTTTAAGAAACTTTTCTAATTCCCGAATAATTTTAAACCCGACCTGCTGTTACACTTGCATTCAGGGTTTCAAAACTACAAGCTGTATATTTTCCGTGTACGGAAAACCATGCATTTCTCTACGGTGTTAAGAGTCGACCATATGAGGTTCATAAAAGTAAGCGGTGGATTTGAGCAATATTGTTAACGTTACAAGCCACATTCGTAAATGCAGATACGTGACGTTTCATGAACGGCCATTTAACGGTATTAAAAAATCTCACGATTGGAAACTTTTTTAGAACCGAATTATACTCTTCTTTTGAGAATGAAGTTTGTATAAGACGTGCTTTTCTACCCAAAAAGTAAAAGAATGAATATTTTTATGCATGTTTTCTATGAAATATAATTGGATTTTCAAGGGCATAGGAAATCAATGAGAAAATTGCATGCTACGTAATTAGTCATTTTTTTGCAGAGTATAGATCTTGCATGCAGCCGAAAATAAGTTCTTTCGAAAGCCGACTCCCCGAGGTAACCGGATCATTGTGTAAGTTCAGCGAATATTCCCATGTTACAATTGAAAAGTCAAATTGGCGAACACGTGTTTTCAGTAACTCTTCATCAGGCCAAAACGGTTACAATGAAGTTTAAGTTATGCGAATTACATGACTTATAAATGATTCGGGGACTATTAACATCGATCGTTCTCACGCCACTCGCATGACGAGGCGTGCTATGGCGTGGTCGGCGTGTCGTGGTCATTGGGTTCAGGGGGCGAGGAAGAGGGCTCACCGCTCGGCCCATTCCTCGCAAATGTCTTCATGGGCAAAGTCGAGATGACAAGTTTACAAAACACCATTCATGACCTCAGCTTCTACGGTCGGTACGCAGACGATATTTTCTGCCTGACGGATGTTACCACCGACACAGACGTCCTGATTCAAAAATTCAACAATTCACACCCCTCGCTAACGTTCTCTGCAGAGTTTGAGGCAAACAATGAAATCGCGTTCCTCGACGTTCTTCTGCACAGACAAGAGGATGGGTCTATCCAACGTAGAGTATTCCGAAAGAAAACCTGGACGGGACAGTACATTATCTTTCACAGTTTTGTTCCGCTCAACATCAAACGAAATCTAGTCCAGGGATTGGCAGCTAGAGTGCGACGTATCTGCTCTCCTGAGACTGTGGAGGCGGAACTCCAGCAGCTGCGGGATACACTCCACGAAAACGGATACCCAGAAAGATTTATCCTTCGAAATATAGGGGAGCGCACTGCAAAACCTACCATGGCAACTGCAGAAAAGAAGGACTTATTTATAAGATTGCCTTTTTAAGGGGACGCAGCAAGTGAACTGATAAAAAGACGTCTGAAGACAGCGATCACTAGCGCTTTCCCCGCGGCGAACTTACGTGTGTGTTTCACTAACTCCCCCCTCCTACGCTTGGGAGGTAAAGACCGACTCCCGTTGCAGGCCACATCAATGCGTATTTATTCATTCACTTGCTCCTGTGGAGCGGGCTACATCGGCCGTACAACGAGGCGCTTGGAAAAGAGAGTACGTGAACACATACCGGCCTGGCTAGGCAAAGGTGAGAAGAAATCGATCTCGAGTTCTATTCTCGCACATCTTGTCGATACGAATCACCGAGTCGATGCCAAAGAAGCCTTTCAGATTGTCTACCGGACACCAGCAGGCTTCTCCAAAGGCCTACGCCAACGGGTGCTAGCTACAGCTGAGGCAGTGGCTATACGGCTGGCCAATCCAGTGCTATGCTGTCAGAAGACTCTGACACAGGCGCTCTGTCTTCCGTGGCCGACGCCGACCCCAACGTCGCCCCAACCTCCTGATGCCAGGGTGGGTGCACAAGGTACACGACGTACTCACAGCCTATGCCCCCCTCTTCCTCGTCCCCTGAACCCAATGACCACGACACGTCGACCACGCCATGGCACGCCTCGTCATGCGAGTGACGTGGGAACGATCGATGTTAATTGTCCCCGAATCATTTATAAGTCATGTAATTCGCATAACTTAAACTTCATTGTAACCGTTTTGGCCTGATGAAGAGTTACTGAAAACACGTGTTCGCCACTTTGCCTTTTCAACCGGATCATTATTGTCTTATGCTGCATCATGATTAGTTTTACAACACTACTTAATTTATCTTTTCGATACGAGAACGCATTTCGAAATTTCGGTTGATATTTCATGAGTTAGCTCATCTACTGTACGTTCCCTTTTGGACAACCCACGGAGCAAGCGGCCTGTACGAAGGACGGTGTTGGTCGTTCGGGAATTGGCGCGGGACAAGGTGGACATTTCTGCACTCAACGAAATCCACATCTCCTAATATGGCAACTGAAGGAGGCAGATTCCGGCTACACCGTCTTATGGAGCGACCGCAAAAAGGTAGAGCGACGCGGAGTTGGCGTTGCCTTTGCCACCCGGAGCTATATCGTGGGAAGATTGCCCTGTCCACAGCAAGGCTTCGGCGACCGCGTTACGAGCTTGCGTCTGTCTTCGGGAAGCCAGATTTGCCACCGTGGTCAACGTCCATGACCCACTGATCAGCTCCGACAAGGAGAATACTAGGTTCTTCAAAGACCTGCATGCCCTCCTGGCGACTGTGTCGAAGGCGGACAGGTTTGTTTTCGTTGGTAACTTTAATACCTTCTTCGGGGCAGAACACGGTGTCTGGAGGGGGGTTTTGGATCCCCATGCAGTCGGTGGCTGAAACGACAGCGTCCTTCTTCTCCTGCGAACTTGTGCAGAACACCCCCTTCTCCTACCTGCCGACGTGGGATAAAGCGACCTGAATGACCGCCGATCGGTGGTTTCATCTGTGGAATGTCAAAAATCCTTGGACGCACTCGCCACCAGCATTAGGAATGAGTCTTTGAAAATGACGCAGACATCAGCCAGATGCTGGCCAAGAAGTACAGGCTGCACAAGGCCCACAGGAAAAATTGGACCAATTCCCGCAAGACGGCCTCCTTCCGCTATCGTTGCATCGCTCAGCACAGACTGTGGACGTGCGGGACGCCCGCATGACTCGTAAGACTGAGGAGATCCAAGGGCATGCTAACTGCAATGAAACTAAGATCAAGCCAGATTACGGTCCCAGTGAAAGGAGCCGTGTCGCTTTTCAGTTCCGATGGAACGAAGCTTCTGCCAAAAAGTCGTGATTTCTGAAGCGTTGGGCCGAGCACTTCAGTAGTATCTTCAACCACACATGTATGATCTCCGACGCCGTCATCGACGGAGTTTCTCGAGTGGAGATGAACGACGCCCTGAATCTGCCGCTCTCTCTCACCAAAAAAAATTTGAGCCGTATGCCAACTCTCTGGCGGAATAAACGGGGGATCAGACACGATGCCGGCGGAATTCTGCAAACAAGGCGACCTCCGGCCGACAGATCACCTCATAAGGATATTCTGGGAGACGTGTCGCTGCGGACTAATTCATCGGCGGTTCATAGATACGACTATCGTCCGCCTCTAAAAGCGGAAGGTTAACCGGCAATTCGGTGATAACCACAGAAAAAATATTCAGGAGATCTTCGCTCGCGCCCTCATTTACCGTCTTAACGGCCATCTGGAACAGGGATTTCTGCAGGAAAGTCAGAGTGGATTCCAACGCCACTGTGGAACCATCGATATACTCTTTGCCGCCCGCCAGCTGCCAGAAAATTGTAAGAAAAAGACGAACCCACCACTACATTACCTTTTTGAACCTGAGGAAATTCTCCGACATGGTGATTTACAATGGATTGTGGATAAGCATGCATAAATTCGGCTGCCTTGATCGATTACGCACATGGAGCGTCAGCGCCACGATGAGGGGCGATGTCGCGCGTAACGGACACTGGGGTCGTCTCTGAAGCATTTATTAAAACCTGCAGAATAAAACATGGCTATGCGTTTGCCCCAGTCCTCTTCAGCTTCATGGTTTCTGCCATGATCTCGAGGCCTACCATGATGAGCGCTCCGGGATACGCATCGGCTGCGGAAGCGGTAGCCCTTTTCTCAACAGCCAGCGTCTATGGGCACCATCGCGCCTTGCCACAATTAATTCTACGCGCACGACTGAGCGGTCAATGCCGTGTCAAATGCTGGCATGTAACGGAGCACAGACCCCTTCGCCTCCGGCTGCGCTAACTTCAGGCTAACCATCAACATGGGCATAACAGTGGCCATGCATCGCCCGCCTTCCAACGCTGCATGCATTACCCCTCGCATTCACGTGAACGACACTCAACTGAAGACCGTGGGCACTTTCGCCTACTTGGACAGCACACTTGTGTGCTGCGTCAAAATCGACGGCAAATTGGCCCACCTGATCTCCGAAGCCACTTAAGCATGCAGAACTCCGTCTGGAGCCTCCACGGCCTTCTCCTGAACACCAAACTGAAGATGTATAAAGTTGCCATCTTGACGACGCTGCTGTACGGTGCGGAGATCTGGTCAGATCACAAGAAACAATCGCGGTAAGTTAATCGATTCAACCTCACTTGTCTCCTCGGAATAATAAAGCTGAGGCGGCAGGATGGGATCTCGAACACAGAAGATCTGGAACGGACTAGAATCTCCAAAATCCACGCCATCTCGAGGAAAGCGCAGCCACGTTGGAGTGGTTACCTTGGGTGGATGGACGGCTAGCGTCGACTAAAACGACTGTCCTACTACGGTGTCACCACGCGAGCTCGCCGACAAGGAAGTGAAACCCGTCACTACGCAGACACCTTAAAGGATTTATGGGGGCGGCGACAAATCAGCCCGAAGACTTGAGAAGGCCACCCACAAAACCGACCGGTCTGGAGAAGAGTCATGGAGAGTGGGACAGTAAACTATGGTGCCAACCGGATCGCCCCAGGCAAAGCCAAGAGGGAAGCCTGCAAGTCTCAGGCACCTCTGACCCGCAACATCAGCATCCACCGCCATCCCAACATGCCTGCGCTGTCGACGAACTCTCCGTGCGCGCATCACCCTCGACGGACAGCTCCGGCCTCAATGCGCCAACTCACGAACCCCGGACCACTGCCTCTTCGACCAATCTTGCTCCAACCCTCAAGGCGTCCACAGTAACAGTCGACCTCGCCATCGATGCCTGGAATCGCCTGGCCTTTACTCGTTTCTCTATGGGGTTCCTCTACTGCATGTAATATGCGGGCGGTCTGTGTGTGAAATCCTGCTGTGCGCGTATGGGAGTCAGGTCGTGCGTGTGGTAAGCGCAGACGAGCTGTTCAGAGTTCTGTCAGCCACCTCTCTCAATTTAAGCATCAGTTGGTTGACCGGCCTGGCCAACTGGCTGGTCGACTCTCAGCGCATGCCTCCTCACTAACAAATCATCTGACACGCCTGAGACTATCCCGATACGCTCTATGCCGTGGCTTAAATGGTCACTAGCTGGCGAGAAAACTAGAACCACATTCCAGTCTCCCTTGTCTTTGTCGGTAATATCATTCTGCCTATATCATACGCCGCTGTGCGGCTGCTGGTTGGGTTCGAGAGAGAGCCCGTAAGGCACAATGGAACGAGTGAGTTCCGTAAGAACCATCAGTTAGCGCCCCCCACCCTAGAACCCCATTGCTAGTCCAATGCGTAGTTGGGTAGAGTGACGGACTAACAGACTGAGAGTTAGGTTGCAATGACTCCTTCCTAGTGTGGCTTCTGCAGCACGCCCACCCAGTGGAATCCGAGCCGCCCCCTCTTGTCTTGCTGTGTGGACTCCTGGTCAGTGTTCGGTGTGGACCAGGGGACTGCGGTGGTACGCGTAGGTGCGGACTTATTGTTGAGCCAGCCGCCTGCGTCCTCTCCCGCCTCCGATCAGAGCACCAGACACAGGTGCAGCGCAAATCTACTGTCACTTTAAACTAATTCAAGTCACCGTCCTTGCTCATACCAAGGTAAAGGAACACCCGGTGGGCCAGGACGGTCGAACTGTCGTGTTTACTACTGGATGCCTGCTAGCATTCTATGAATGCTACTTTGGTATCCCACTGAATTCGACAGATTTCGAACCAAATATTCAAATAAACTTTCCGACTGAGCCTACAATGATTTGTTCCGTTTGGTGTCTTCCAAGATGGTGCATTAATTTCTTAGGAGATTAGATGGTGAAATTAAAAAAATGGAGTATCTACCAGAAAGTGTGCAAGAAACGCTGGGGGCACACTGATGAACTGCAGCGGCAGAATGTCAACAAAAGGCATTTCTGGGCTTTGAACTAAATAGTACTTTTGCTCTTACTGGCGGTGAAACAGGCAACACGTCTACCTTTCAGCTCTGTTTTTAAGTAATGAACACCTCAGTACAAACATATTTGCTGGTCTTTTCATTAACAGCAAATAGTTTTCACACCTGTTCCTTTTGTTGGAGTGCGCTTTTTCATTGAATTTAATGGTTTTTGAAGTAGGTGACCAAGCCCTTAGTGAATTGTTTAAAATACTTATATAATCGTGTAAATGTAAATACCAACATGTTTTAGTTACAAAATCGATCTATAACGAAGACACCCTGGGGTTCTTTATCCACATCTGGGCAAATATCTGTTCAGTCGCATATGCCAGCCACAAATAAAAACATGGTCGCCTGAGTATAGCATATTTCGTGGTCGCTTTTTTATTTTGTATTTTAAAACGCTGTGGTTGAATGCAACTTGCAATTTTGAATTCAAAAGAGATGGATTCGCTATCAAATTTCATTATAGAGTTGCAGTGCCTCCTGTTCAAAAGAACGTTTGTTTTTTGATGTCCTTTGTGGTGTTTGAATGTTTACAGATGTGGTGTTACCAAAGTGTCTAACTGGATTTGCATGTGTGGAAGAATTATATGGGTACAGTTGGGCCGGCTTTTAAGGGCATTCTGTTGCAAGTGAATATGCCCCAGAAGTAGACAAGTTAACATCTCAGAGCTTTGCCAACAGGCGCCAATTCGGTTCATGTTTGAAAGTTTAAGGGCAGAGTTGAAGTTCTCGGGAAAAAAGGTTTCTGAGAAGTTGGTGTACTAAATGAATATGGACAGTATGGCATAACTGACAAAGACAAGAGAGACTGAAACGGCCATTTCTGGTTAGCGCACCTCTACCATGGTACGTCCCCGACGGAAACCGACGTGGAAACGAGCCCGTGGCTCAGTAGTAAAAGGCGTTGGACGTCTAACCAACAGATCACGGCATCGAGCCCGAGGTGGTCCACATATCGAGGTTGGATATGACTGGCTGACGACGCCTAATAAGCGCGAAATAGCCATTTCAGTCTCCTATGTCTTTGTCGGTAATACCCTTTTGCTTATATCATGCGCACCTGTGCGGCCGCTATTTGGATTCGAGAGAGAAGGAGCCCATAAGCTACAACAGGACGAATGAGCTCCGTAAGAACGATCGGTGGGCGTCCCTCTACTATTGTACTAAATGATTGTTTTACGTATTCGTTCTAAATTCCACTTCATATAGCCATGAAATCTAAATTATTTTATCTGCAACTGTCTCTGATGATGGATTCAAGTGAGTATTCGAAACGTCAGGCGAAAAAACGCCCTTGTCTCAGCGATCACTTCTTTTTCTGGCCAACCAGTTCCTGGAACACGCATCTTCGTTTGTATCGGCAATGTTTGCTCATATTGACAATAAAATACTGTTCGCGGAACACGTGTTGAAAACGTGTTCATTTAATTTGGGATGCCATGTATTCTCCAAAGCTGCATAGTATTTCAAAGTTTCTTGGGATATGGGGCACTTTGAATGGACTTCTAATTATACCTAAGGCCAAGTATGAGGCTGGCTAAAAGCAGAATGTCCATTGTAGATGAAACTATAATGTCCACTTGAGTAAGTGTTCACGACAAGAGCAGAATTCATTATTGCGTAATTATTTGTCGTACTGACAACATAGGTACTACCTAAAAGCCCAGACACGCGCTCTTCGGCGATCTTATACCTCTGCCTGACGCAACGGCAAGGGATTTAATTCCTAAGTGTATCCTCCAACCTTTCCTGTGCTTTTCTGTTATATAAACTCCAGTTTCACCTTGCCCTATTTAATTCCCGAGGAAATTTAATGCTTTTAGCTAATACCTGTGTTGGCAGTACGGTAATTGATAACACAGCATTATATTATGTAATATTCACAAACCGCAAATAGACAGCCAATAGTATACAACTGTGCAATTATTGACCGCAGTGACAACACAGGTATTAGCAAACAGCATTAATTTTCTTGGAAATTAAGCAAGACGAGGTGAAATCGGAGTTAATATGCCAGAAAACAAATGGGGAAGCCTGGAAGACCCATTGATGAGTCAAATCTCTTGTCGCTGCGTCAGTCAGCGGTACAAGATCCGCGAAACACGCGTGTCCGAGCTTTTAACTAGTACCTTTGTTGTTAGTACGGTAAATAGTTACATAATTGCATACTAATGACTGCCTGCTTGCGGTTTGTGAATATTACGCGGTTATTTCGCAGTAGCTGATGGATTTCAGCCCAAATATTCATATCAACTTTCGGACCGTGCGCGAGATGATCAGTTCCGAAGGATTTACCCCAAATTTGCGCATTAATTTCCTCGGAAGTTAAACAAGGCAACTATTCATTATGTTAGGATACGTTTGGGCATACGTGCCTATTTGACTGTCTTACTTGTTGCAGTTTTGTTAAAGGTTCTCGGTAAGTATTTAATCGAGACTATTTCATTCTTTCTAGGAAATTTAAACATTCGGATTCATTTAACTGCATGTCTGTATAAGGATATTTTCATTTATTATTTGAACATCAATGAATTAGAGAGCTGGGAAATTTAATAATCGCCAAACACAGGAAAAAAGATCTTGTGGACTCTTTTTCTATAAGTACTCAATATGGACATTCGGCGAGGAATTAACGAATAGCACATGGCACTGTGAAAATCGACCGCACTAATGGTTGTCGCGTGGTCCCTCCCCGAATTCATTATTCTTTCTTGTAAACAAAATATTCTGTTTTTCCGTCCTAGACTGAGTCTCGAAGCGTTTTTTCAGCTGGCGGCCGTTGACTGGACATTCGTCTAACTATTTTCAGCAGCAGAATTGCGGCAAATACAGTGGCCCACCAAAATAACTGAACAGAACAT